GCTCTGAATGAACTGCCAGAGGAAGTTCTTCAGGTAGAAAGTAAACGATAAGGAAAGAAAGAGCAACAAAAGGAGTAAATATCTTCATAAATGTAACAAGCTGCTATTCTCCTCCTGAGTATTAAAAGTTGTGCTTGATACTTGAAAGCAGAAAGTATTATATTGTCTGATGTGGTTCTCAATGTATGTGGGGTAACATTTAATATCATAAAGGAAGAGAGCATACAAGAACCTAACTGGTGGTTTAAGATTTCTACATTCTATTAAAGTGGTAAATTGTTGATAATAATAGAATGTGATAAGTATATACATTTCCATCTCTAGAGCAACTAAGACAGGCACTTCATTCCGTTGTTCATGGGGTCACCATGAGTCAGGGGTTGACTCAAAGGCAGCTAACAATATGTAATAATTAGTTTGGAGTAATGTACCTACACAAAAAATAAGAATCTCTGCTTTTTCAAATATTCATGTCATTGATCAAGTTACATATTTGCACAGTAAGAAATGCGTTCACAACAAAAGTTAAATCTATTATCAGCAGCTTCCATGCAATCGAGCTCCTTTCCATGACTAGAAACATTTCTTGAAAAACAAACAGACAATAATATTTTTCTAGGCTTAATACTTTGATAAGTAACCTGAAATTTGACACCATCATTCTTTGAAGCTTACATTAGAAATTCCTATCCTATTTCTGTCAAGGAAGCCTACATAAGAATTTTTAATAAAATGTTGATTAAGAAACACTGCAATCAACTACAAATTTGTGACTAACTCTCAAAAACTAAATAAAAATCTGATAAATTTGTAGAAAATGCTAGAGCAGATATCATTCCTAAGGACCAGATTCCTATAATATCTAACACTGATACTCTTCCACAAAGTCGGGTCCTGGGTAAATGATTACTACTATTAATTAGACAATTTTAAGTTACAGATTGTGAGAGAAACAAAAAGCAACAAGGAGCTACATTTAAGGGTAACACTTTCCAAGTCTGAAGAGAAAATGTACTTCCTTCTTAAAGAAGCCTTGGCAAGTTTTTTCAAAAGATAAACAACTGTGTGAGAAAAGCAGCCAGCACTAGCTGATTTAAATTTTCTGCTCTAAATTGACACCACTTACCTGGTAAGCAGAAAAGGTGAGGAGTTTCAATAAGTGTTCCAGTCTTACTTTTCATCACACTAATCTACCGTTACCCTCCAGGTAGATTAGTTCTCATTACTGGGACAGCCTGTACCTCCTCTGTAAAATTTATTACAACTGTAATGAAATAACTGAGTATCTAATTAATCATTTAATATCTGTCTCATCTACAAGAAAGTAAACTCCACAAGGACAATGTCTGCTTGGCATTTTTTTTTAAAGATGTTCAGGAATTACTTGTACGGGTAATTTGTATTAGACTCAAAATGCCTGTAGCATTTTTATCTCTTAGTGAATAGAGTTATTCCCCAGACAGTATGGTACTCGAAAGGAAACTTGAGTGATTATTCTTGATTCCTTCCACTCTTATATCAAGGGTTTATCTCCTGAACCTGTCTACTTCTTTTCATCCCCACTGCTACTCCCTATTATTCAGGCCAACATCATCCTTTTTTTTTTTTTTTTTTGTACTACTGCAACAAGCCTCCTAATTAGTCATTCTGTCTCTAGCTCCCCTTTAATCCACCCTCCATGCTGACCTCAGAGTATGCTTCCTCAAAAATCAAAATCTGATAAGGTCACTACTTAAAATGCACCATGGCTCGCCACTGCCCCTAGTATAAAATCCATACTACTAAAGCAGTGCTGAACTTCTCCTTTTTCTAATGGATTAGAATCCCTTGCCTTTGCATATCCTGTTCCCTCTTCTGGACCACTGTTCCTTTGACATCAAAGTAATATTTCCAATATTTTAATATTACCAGTTACTACCCACCTTAAAAATCATCCCAGGCTCTACAATGAGTAATATAATGGTTTTCCAACTTCCTTGTTTTAGCTGTGGGGCCTTTTGTTCAAAGGAAATATTAAACTGGATGCTCCAGTAGTAAAACAGATCAGTGTGGAGCCTCTCTGGTTGCAGGTGGAGAGGGGGGCCAGAAGCTCAACTCCTCACCTCCTTTCCACCTCACAGCAACCTCTAAGTGGGCTCCACAGAAGATAATTACAAAACCACTGTTCTAAAGATTAAAATCTAGATTCTTAGACGGCAAACATGGATCTGGTCTAGAATATCTTTTCTGTATCATCTGCTGGTACTACCCCATGCAAAATCTTAGACATTGCACAGAAGCGCAGTACTCTTTTAAACTTTGATGAACAAGAGGTTCCTTCTGCCTGCAATGCCCATCCCCCAACCTTGTCTCCTGGTAGAACTACTAATTCTATAAGCCACAGCTCAAACACCATTGACTTTAGACAATATTTCTAGTCAACATCATGCAGGCAGAGTTAGGCTCTGTCACATCTTCACAGTGCTTGTATAAATCTCCCGTACAGCACTATGGTGTAACGAGTTCCCCTGTGTGGCCTTTTAGCCTTGGTTTTTAAAAACACAACTTAAGGGATTTCCTCCAAGTAACTGACAACCCCGAGATGCTGGTCTGGCTAGGGAGCCCACTAGTTACTGACAAAGGAGCACGTGGACTGGCTTACAAAAGCCCTAGAACACAGAGGCTCAGATGGGGCTTCCTGGTTGGTGAGAACATTTGCTCTCAGGAGGGTCATGCGTCCCTGGGTACACGAAAGCTCTGTGGTGGGACCCCTCCTGACCTCGCCCTGTGTGTCTCTTCTTTGTATCCTTTCTGGTTATAATAAATCATTGACTATACGTAGATACTCTCCATGAATCCTGTGAGTCGCTACAGGGAATTATCGAACCCACGGGGCAGTGACAGCCGGTAAGAGCTGGCATCTGCCTATCTGGCAGTCTGAAGGACTGTGTCCTTTTAACCTGTGTGCTCTGACCTAGCCCCAGGTGGCTAGGGATGAGCAAGAGAAGGGGCCAACTGATCCGGAGGGAATTAGATGAACCCTCAAGCTTGCAGCCAGCACCCGGTGACCTAGCCCCAGGTGGCTGGGGATGAGAGACAGTGTTGCCTGGAGTGGCTGGCAACAAGGATGGAGAAGTGGGAAGGCGAGGACTGGATCCATTTCCAGGTGGGAACTGGATTCATGCTGATGCTTACCACGAAGTTAGCAATGATGGTGGGATTTACCCACCCTGCCCCTTGTTTATTAGTGCAAACACTTAACACATTGTACCGTAAATTTTAAAGTCTGATTCTCTACCAGCTGTCAACAACTTGAGTGGCAGTCTTTACATCTTTTTCATTATTCCACCTTCAGTTTTTATAACACTGTCTGATGAGTAATGTGTATTTAATATCTATCAGGTGAATGAATATGTTTAAAATATTAATCTCAAGTCTCAAAAAAACCATTACATTCTATTCAGTCTATTCAGTTGACCATGGTAAAAGCAAAATCTTCCAGAAAGTTTATTTTTCTAGAATACTTAACATTCTAAAAAAGAAGACTTGGTGCTTAGTGACATAAATCTTTAATTCAGTTACTCAGATCAACCTATTGCCCCAGTTTTAACGTAAAATTTTAAAATATTTCCATCAAAATGGCAAATTAAAACTATTATGCTTAAGTTATTAACAAATTATAGAGTATCTACTATTTTGTATAGATAATAAGTATAGAATAATTAAGCTACGGGGTATTATAAACTATCTAGGGAATCAAAAATAAAATACACGAAACTAAAATAAGAGCATAATAAATTGTGAAGATAAGACTACATATTTTATAGAATTAGAATCACTGATAATCAGAGGTAAAAGTTCCTACATGCTGGGATGATCTGATCTAACATCCTGATGTTATATCTAAGAAGAGACCTAGGATGACAGAAAATTAAAAAAAAAAAAAAAAAAGATAAATGAAGTATGGATTGTCTACAGGAGGCATCATAAAAGAACATCAAACATGAGCCAGGCCTTGAAGAACGGGTAGAACTCAGCAAGTTTACGACACAATGAGAGCATTCCATGAAAGGAGAACATGAGTGAGGACATCAGTCAGGGTCAGGAAAGACTCAAGAGCCAGTGTTCAGCCTGACTTGAGCACAGATACTCATTAGGGAGCTGTGGGGGAAAAGACTGAATGGATTCCATGGCACCGAGTTTCAGAGGGTTTCCAAAGCCAGGCAAAAGACCTGCTATTTTATGTGCTAGAAAACAGATATCCAGAACACTTAACAGATCATTTATAAAGCCCTAAAAATTCTAAGTTAACTGTCATTACTTTACACTTAAGGAACATGAGTCACCCTTCCGTGACTTCTTCATAGGTAGGAGGACAGCACAGCCTCACTCAAACTCTTTTTGCCATGCGACGCTGCTGCTCCTGGAGCACTTCAATGGAGCAACTTATTCCCCAAGGACAATGGATACGTGTTGCTGAGCCTGGCTCTCTACCTAAGTTCTAAACAGTATTTGTATGAAGTAGAGCATACTCTCTTTTGAGGAAAAATTCTTACATGTATTCAAATATGAATTAATGACAAACAAAAAGATGTCCTTTGGTTTTAAAACAACCATATTTTTTACTATTAATTCCTTACCAAAATATGCAACTAAAATTTTTTTTATGAAATGTGCTGACAGTAAAAAAAAAAAAAAAAAAAAATTTAAAACTATACTCTCCATATTGGTTTGTCATAAATTTTAATACTTTAACTACTTCACCCATCCTTCAGAATCATGCTCAAAATAAGTATTTCCAGAAAGACAAATAGTAGAGAACATACTCATTCTTAATACTTAAAGAGTTCATATGGTCCCATAAATCTGGAATTGATTGAACCAGTATATTAAGAAGACAAATAAGAAAAATTCAGTTAGATGCATTCATTGAAAATGCTTTTTAAAGATGGAGAACCATGTGTGTTGTGCATTCCACATTTATGACAGCACATCTGTGACTGCTCATCACTATAACTTACCCCAGTTTTATCACACAAGCGTAAAGTATGAAACGATCCAACAGCAAATAATTCTCCATCTGGAGCCCAGGCAACTGAGGTAATTGGATGCTCATGAGGCTGTGAACTGTACAGCGGGCGGCCATAACTATCCCACACCTACAAAAGGAAACAATTTTATTTTATCTGTTCTAATTGCCACCACGTTATTACAAACAAGTTTGTTCTCCAGTAAAGTATGAAGTAAAGACTTAGAAATCAATACTTTATAATATTAGCAATCAAATACCTTTACTTTTCTTGCTTTTGTTTTTTACTCTCATGCAAGGGAAAAAAAAAGTAGTATTCCTTGAAACCTAAGAATCTCAAAAAGAATATATTTTATGATAACACTGTGATAATTTTCAGATTTTACTAAATCTTTCATTAAACATAAAACCTACCCATGTTCAGTCCTTTTAAATTTAATATTTTTAGCAACAAAAACACAAAAAAATCAATAAAAATTAGCGAAAGACTTAATAGATATTTTGCCACAGAAGATACACGAATAGCCAACAAACACATGAAAAGATGCCCAACATCAGTCATTAGGGAAATGCAAATCAAAACCACAACCAGATACCATTCCACCTCCACTATGATATCTATCATCAAAAAAAAAAGAAAACGTTGGCAAGGATGTGGAGAAATTGAGACTGTCATCCATTGCTAGAGGAACTGTAAAATGGTACAGCCATCGTGGAAAGCAGTTCCTCAAAAAGTTAAATATACAATTATCATATGACCCAGCAATTCCATTTCTAGGTATATACCCAAAAGAATTGAAAGCAGAACGCAGACACTTGTACACCAATGTTCATTGCAGTGCTGTTCATAATAGCTAAAAGGTGGAAACAACCTAAACAGCATCCATCAAGAGCTAAATGGATAAAATGTGATATACACATACCATGGAGTATTACATAACCATAAAGAAAAATGAAGTCCTGATCCATGCTACAACATGGATGAACTTTGAAAACATTATACTAAGTGAAGTAAGTCAGCCACAAAAGGACAAACACTGTAATGATCCACTTATATGAAATACCTAGAATTTGGCAAATGCACAGCAACCAAAGTTTATTAGTAGTTACTAGGGCATGAGTCCTCAGGGGGAGTCACTGCTTAGAGGACACTGGGTTTCTGTTAAGGATAATGGAAAAATCTGGAAATGGACAGTGGTGATGGAGAAGACATGAAAAACATAATTAATGTCACAGAATTGTACAGGTTAAAAATGTTGAAATGGCAAAATGTTTTGTTACATGTATTTTTTACCACAATAAATTTTAATTTAATATTTTAAAGTTTTGATGTGTTCAGCTTTTTGCTGAAATTTTTTCTTATCCAATAAGTGCTCTATCAACTTTCCCTAAAAGTGTTTATTTCAACTAAATTTCTTCTATTGTTACATTAAATCTTATTCTTTCCCACGAAGAATCCTGGTCTGAACCTAATCAACTAGTACTGTTGATTTTTTTAAACTCATCAACTAGATTGATTAACACTGAGTCACTAAAACGAGCAGCTATATTTATGTTGCTACTTTTTAAATCAACTTCTATAGGTCAATGAGATAGTCTTTATGAAGCAAGCAATTTAAAATAACAGTTAAAATTATTAAATACCAGTTTAAATTATAAAATGACAATTTGCTAAATTACTAGAGTTAAAAGACATGGTTATAGTTAGAAACTAAAAGAATATTCTCATATGCTAAATACTTGTCAACCAAATTCGATTCTCTCAACCAGGTGACAAACTGAAACATCACACACCTTGTATTTACAGTCTTCACCAGCAGATAAAATAAGATCATTAACTGAGTTCCAATCTACTTTTAAAATGATGCCATCATGAGCCTTCCACTATAAGGGGAAAAAAGATATTAAATTATAACTTTAAGAGCACTAAAAAGTATTTTCTATAAGAAAAGATACTTTGCCTCTTTCTAATGATTCTTCTCTTACCTTCTCAGGAATTCCTATCTTCTTTTTATAGCCATTGTGCAATATCTCATTTGCTTGTTTCATTTCTAATTTACACTAATGAAAGCACCTAGTACCATGTCATCCACTATATATTATTTCAAGCTTGATGTTTATGTGATAACACTGGAATGAATGTCATTTACGTACTTCAAAAACGTTAGCTGAATCCAAATCTTGCTGTCACCTTTGTGCAGTTGATCCCGTTACTGATACTGCCTTCTTGCTTGTTTACTAATTCTCTATTTTCTAACTTCTATTTCATCAACATCATCTTTAGTACTCTCTTCATTCTGTTCTGCATATTCCCCTAAGCTTCATTTTTTTTACCTTCATGTGTTCTGGTTCACAACTGGGCTACTACTGAGAACTTCCTGCTGCATTTACCATACAAGAAAAGGATGATGTTTTCCACAAATACACATACATTCTGAAGTCACCCAGATATTGGCAATCTAGAAAGTAAACAAGAATGTCTTCCTGCACTTAAATCAATGTGCTCATTAGCTATTACCACACATGTAATTAAAACCGGTCTTTCACCATGTTTAGGCAGAATAATATAACTAAGGAAGAAATAACTTTCCTTGAAGACTATAAAGTACATTTTAAAGTATGAGCCAATTAACTTTACATAAGAGTGACTGATTTTAATGGCTCTCTCTACAAACCTTTACCAACCTATTCTTATTGTATAAAGAATAAAATATTAAATTAGGGTCAAATAAGGTCTAAGAATAAGAATAAGCAATAATTCATAACTTGTTTTACTCAAGATATACAAAAGTATACATTTCTGAAACAAGTATTTTGATAATACATATTAAAAAGCAGTAATTCTCACAATTATCTGTCAAATTAATCTAATTTCCTGACATAAACTGCAAGGAAAAATATTACACACACACAATGATTGTCAAGAGTTTCATTTCAGAGTCATAAAACAAATTTTTGCATATTCATGTTATGAGCAAAATGTGATTTAAATTATCAAATTGTATCCTAAAGCTATAATTTAGGATATCAATTTATCTATTACATATAACACATAATCAATTTTCAATTATTTCTCAATGTATTAGGTTTTTTGTGAAATTCCTATGAGCCAAGAGCTCCTTGAAGGCAGGAACTATGTTCAGTTCCACTCTGAGGATCTCACACTTCGCACAGTGCCTGGCACATAATAGGTATGCACTACATTTTTAATGAATGAATAAATAAACAAAAGTCTCCTCACTATAAAAACAAGTTCTGGGCCACCGACTGCTCTGACAGGGATCACAATAGAGGGTCCCGGACATAGCTAGAGAAAAAATGTAGAACAAAATTCTAACTCACAAATAAAGACCAGACTTACTGGCCTGACAGAGACTGGAGAAACCCCGAGAGTATGGCCTCCGGACATACTTTTCATTCAGTAATGAAGTCACTCCTGAGGTTCACCCTTCAGCCAAAGATTAGACAGGCCCATAAAATAAAACAAGACTAAAGGGGCACACCAGCCCAGGGGCAAGGACTAGAAGGCAGGAGGGGACAGGAAAGCTGGTAATAGGGAACCCAAGGTCAAGAAGGGGGAATGTTGACATGTCCTGGGGTTGTTAGCCAATGTCATAAAACAATATGTGTACTAACTGTTTAATGAGAAGCTAGTTTGTTCTGTAAACCTTCATCTAAAGTACAAAAATAATAATAATAAATCGGTTTGTTTTCATTTAAAAAAAGTTCTGGATACCTAGAAGAGACCCAGAAAGTCTTAAAGAAAATGAGGTATATACTTTTGAACTGCATTCCATAAGCAAGAATTAATTATGCATTCCTTTTTGTGGACAACTCCAATTTGAAAATGTGTTTACGCTCAAGGAGAATTGCTACAGTATTAGTTTTCCAAAAGGATTACATAATTTTCATTAAATTACTAATTACACTTTAACTCTTCTTCCACTTTAGCAGAATGTTGGCAAGGGGTACTTTTTCTTCTCTCCACTATCTTCTGGCCCAAAGGTTCTACTGAACCCCTAAACCATAATTTAATTCATCAATGGTGATATAAGCACCTCCCTGAGTCTCATGTATATAAGCTAATTACAAGTATCTGAACAAATTCACACAATTACAGGTATAAACTAAAAGATCAACTTGTCTGTTTTTGCTGTATAACTTCATAGCAGATTTTCAGAGTGTAAGCGATTGGTATGGAAGGCCTTTGCCTAAAGGCAGTCAGATCCAGTCCTCTTTTCCAACTTCTCACCTTTGCCCAAATTCTTTAACTTTAGTTGCCTCAGGGCAGGAACTTACATTTTCTATTTCTTTTGTTTGTCCCCAAAGTTCTTAGATGAGTGTTCTGCACACAGTAAAAATGTAAGTGCATATGGACTCCAGGCAAACATATACAGGTAGGCCCTTACAACGTATTTGAGTTACGCAAACCACACTTTCAACGGTCTGTTTTACTTTTGTATTTTTGTTTTTGTTATTTTGTTTTGTTTTTTGTTTTGCTGCGTCTTATCATTAATAATATGTACCACATACAATCTTGCAGCACATAATTTGCTGATGTTATTTTCAGATGTTCATTGGCACATGGTCAAAGACGGGGCTTATAAAGATACTAATAATAAAAAGGCAATGAAAATGAAAACTGAAAAAAAAAAAAAGGTTTTTGAGTTACATCAGAACCAACTCACAAAGGAGTCCTCTGAACGGAACCCCGTCGTAAGTCGGGGACTACCTGTCTGTATAGCATAATACATACAGAAGTTACTAATATGGAACATTAAGGTCATTTCTATCTCCTTACTCCCTAAAATCTGTATCTTTTTAATTGTTAAGCCTGATGCTCTTCTTACAACATTTTTGTATCTGCTGTAGCCTGTTAATCTCGACCACCAAATCACTCTCCCAGGATCTAGTCATTCTACACCTTTTCCCCAGCCTGCCTGACTCTCCTTTATTAAAGGTTGACAAAAAAAGGCTTTTACTTTTAGCTGCCATAGAGTCAGTTCTGACTCTTGGTGACCCCACGCGTGTCAGAGAAGAAATGTGCTCCACAGGGTTTTCAATGACTGATTTTTTGGAGACAGACTGCCAGGACATTCTTCAGAGGCACCTTTGGGTAGACTCAAATTTTAACCATTTTGGTTAGCAGCTGACTTAAACATCTAGTGTTGCTATAACGGAAACATCACAAGCAGATGGCTTTAACAAAGAGAAATTTACTCTCTCACAGTCTAGTAGGCTACAGGTCCAAATTCAGGGTGCCAGCTCCAGGAGAACTGTCTCTCTGTTGGCTCTGGAGGAAGGTCCTTGACATAAATCTTCCCTTGGTCTTGCAGCTTTTCCACACAGGATCCTCACGTCCAAAGGACGTGCTCTGCTCCCAGCACTGCTTTCTTGGTGGTATGAGGTCCCCATGTCTCTCTGCTCACTTTTCTCTTTTACATCTCAAAACAGACTGGCTTAAGATACTATCTAATCTTGTAGATCTCATCAATATAACTGCTGCTAATCCATCTCATTAACATCACGGTGATAGGATTTACAACACATAGGGAAATCACATCAGATGATAAAACTGCAGACAATCATACAATACCAAGAATCATGACCTAGCCAAGTCGACGGATATTCTGGGGTACACAGTTCAATCCACGACAGCAGCCAAACATGTTAATTGTCTGCAGCACAAAGGGACTCCTGACTAAAAGGCAGAGATGACATAATATTCATAATAACACAATAATATTAATAATAACTACTCTACCATGAATGCTTACTGTATGCCAGGCACTGTCCTATGCACTTTGCAGTTTGACTCATTTAATCCCCACAACAATTCTATCAAGCAGGTATCAGCATCACCAACTAAGAGATGAGAAAGCTGAGGCTCCAAGATATTTTGTAACTTGACGAAGGTCATACACAGCTAATAATGGAGGCAGGATTTAAACCCAGGGGACTAACTCCAAAGCCTGTCACCCACATACACTGTGTCATTATCAAAATATAAAGAAAATGATTCTGCCTTTGAACACTGGAGTCAAATGCCAAAATCCTGGGCATAGGCTGAAAAGTTTTCCGTAATTTGTCCTACCTTGGCGGGTCTTAACTGCCACCATTGTTTCACTTGCTTTTATGTGGTTCTTGGTTTGCCCCTTTCTTGTCACATTTCTGAACGTTATGGATTGAATTGTGTCCTCCAAAAATACATGTTGTAAATCCTAACCTCTATGCCTGTGGTTATAATTCCATTTGGGAATGGGCTGCCTTTGTTATGTTACTGAGACAGGATTAGTATAGGGTGTGTTTTCAGTCAATCTCTTACAAAGTATAAACGAGGAAGATTAAAGAAGCAGTGATGGGGGAAGACAGATGCCAAGCCACATGAAGACTGCCCAGGAGCAGAAGCTCAGAAGAAACGAGGGCCTTTCTCCAGAGCCAACAGACAGAAAGCCTTCCTCTAGAGCCAGCACCCTGGAGTTCGGACTTCTAGCCTCCTGAATTGTGAGAAAATAAATTCGTTTGTTAAAGCCATCCCCTTGTGGTATTTCTGTTACAGCAGCACTAGACAACTAAGACACTAAACTACCATTTTTCCTGTCCCTGGACTTAGAAGAATCTTCCCTTTCCTCTCCAAGATTCAGCTCCGAGCTTATCTATTCCCTTCTGAATAGCACAAAATAAGACGTGAAATAGCACTATCCTTAAGAAAAATATTATCTCTATAACTGGCAAAGTCATACACACTGAATTTGTTTTAAATATTACACGGACTCCTCCTCCACTCTAAAAGTACTAAAAGAATGACAGACTTAGAGAGAGCTCAAGAGTGTTACACAAATGAGGAGGAGGAGGATGAAAAACAAAGTCTAAACCAGCCCTTAAAATTTTATGATTTAGCTCTGTTTTGTCTCAAATCTATACATTGGAGGCTGACTATGCTAAATTTAAACACGCCTAGTTTTGCCAAATCATGTGACAATTTTGTAATTCAAAATACATTTATGATTTACTGGTAAAATGTGAGTTGGAATAAAAAGCAAGTGAACCTTGATGGAAATACAACTAGATATCCCCTGTTCTGTAATAAAGGCTGATAAGACCACACACTTAAAGGTCTCAGACTGTAAAAAGACCAGCCAGAAGAAAGAGACCCCCAAGAAAATGCCCAATTGCTCAGCAGTCTGACAGAGCCTGACAACAATTTGCAAATGCCCGAGAAGTACCTGTAAAACTTTAGCACTTGGTTGAAGAGGTTTAATGATCAGCTGCTTGCCTGCTGTGTAAAGAACCTTTTCTGAATCAGGGCCCCACGCTACTGAATACACCGGTGTTCCTGTAAAATGGAAGAAGAAAAACAGACTGATAAACTTTAATTATTATACCTTATAAAAAGGGAGATTGCTAAGAGGATCAGAAAATAGTAGAAAAGCGATTTTGGGTGTCATATCGTTTCTTCCTTGTTAAATGGCCCTTTCAAACTGGAGTATAGCCGGATACTGAATTACAGACTGGGTTATATTGGCCACTGAAAATTTGGGAGCAAATGACAAACTACATTTTTAACTGATTTTGAACTTGCTGAGAAAATACGGAGTTTTTAGAAATTCCAGACAGTGTGCTATGGAAATACATTTAAAAAGAAATAAATACACTTCACATTTTAAGATACAGATACCAGAAGACTCATGGTTTATCATTTTCCTATCATCAACTTTCATCACAGTTCAAACTGACTCAATGCATAAGTTGACTTCAATTTTCTGTATAAAAACACACAGGATATACTCACTTTATGGATTAATTCCGATCCTGATGCTGCAAGAGGCAACAGAACTTCCTCTCACCTGCTGCTTAAGCAGTAGTCTAATGGATAGAAAGCATCCACCCCAAAATAATTTCTCCCTCCCACCTATACATTTATGAATGGCAAATTAAATATCAGAATAGGGGAAGTTTCGCTATCTATCAGGAGTAGCTCAGCCTGAAAGCTAGGATAAGAAGGGCTCAAATATTCTGTAACCAAGATAAAGGTGATTCCATTTCTATGGGAAAGGTGCAAGGTAGATTTACCTGCCACAGTATAAAATACATTAAATGTGATGTTTTCAGTTTCATAGGATAGCGATTTAGGGATAGTATATTTTTTAACTTGATTAAATTTAAAGATAGTATTTTTTAACTTAATTACTTTCTATATTACCTAATATGTTCTATAACTTTATGTAAGCCTAGTTTTAAAAAACGGGCATTATATCTATTAAAAGACATTAATTATATGGTAGCAAATAATTTGTATTCCGCTGCCTGACCTAGCTATCTACTCATTAAGAAAGGAGTCAAGGTTCTACAACTAATCTATGAAATATTAACCCAATTAAATTTTCAAAACCAAGCTTTTAAAAATTGTCCAGAACTCCTAAGTCAGACTATTGCAGCAGTTGATTTTCTGTGAACGAATAAGTGAGTGAATGAATGAAATAAATCTTTCAAGCATTTACTCACTCAGTAAAATGAAATTTGAATTTGAGGATTTATGGACAACCGATGGGATTTAATTGTTTATTTAAGTAGAAAACCCAACTAGTGCTGCGGTCAATAGGGAGTAAATTTCAGAAAGACAAATGTGTTTGTTCAATTGACAGCCTACTTTTGTTGTGCCATTTTCTTCCCAACCAAACAGTTCAATTGTGAGCAAGCCCCAGCGGTACAGGCCTTAGAAAGCCGCCCTTAACCCAGTCCCACAGCCCTGAAGCCTGCCTTCTACAGTGCAGGTCAGGTGCTGTAACGGGTCTACATACCCAGTTCAGGAGCTGACATCTAAGATTGTTCTGTATGAAAGAAACTCACAGAAATTCCTCCCAATGAAATGGCCAACCCTAAGAAGTCTCATTTCTTCCTCTGTACTTGTTAACCATATTCTCTGGGAACAGCAGAAGCTGACCTGGGCTTCAAAAGTAGTCTGCAAATAAACAGAATTCAACTCTAATAAACTCCTCAGAAAACGTTAAGCTAAAATTTCAGATATTTAAAATGTGGTTCTTGGCAATAACTGGAAAGGGAGTATAGGGGAAAACAGCTTATTTTTTAGGGTAGTAGAATTATAGATATCTTCTTTATTTCTGTTATTATAGTTGTAATTTATGTTTTAAAAAAGTACATAAATATATTTTAATTTACAGGCTACCAAATCTTCCTGAGTACACTAAGTATAAAATGACACTTTCTTGAGGAGTATACTAACCTATGACAAACATCTACCCACAAGGAAATAATTCAGTAAATACAGCTCCCATTGAGTTATACAGGATGTGACTCTAGCTCTTTAGTTGTGGTAAAAGGCACGGTTTGGGTATAGGATGAGGAGCTAGGGACTGTTTTGTCTCTTAACAAATTGAATTTATGGCCCCAGCAAGTCAGCTGTATCACTTTGTTTATAAATTTTTCTCCACAACACTTATCAGGACATGGAGTTAGGATATGGAAATAATTCATTTCATGTTTATGAAACAATTTTTTTAACAATAATAATGTTAAAGAAACAGGTATAATAACAAAACAAGTTATAGAGGAAAAAGCAATCCGTTTGTTACAACAAGTGGTTTTGTTTTTATTTGTTTGTAGTAAAAACATAGATACCAATACATACACCAATTCAGCATTACCCTGCATATAAAATTCAGTGACACTTATCATGCTCATCATGTTGTACAATCATCATCCCCATCTGTTTCCAAGGAATTCCACCACCTTTAACAGAAACTCAATGTCCCCTAAGCAGACTCTCCCCTTCCCCTGAGGGAGGACTAGTTACCTCATAACCACTAATAAACTTTGGCCTCTATACATTTGCCTGTTTCATATAAGTGGGATCATACAATATTTGACCTTTTGTGACTGATTTATCTCACTCACTATAATGTTTTCAAGATTCATATATGTTCTAGTATGTATCAGGACTTCATCTTTCTTTATGTATAGTAATAGTCCATGGTGGTCACCAACAGTCAGAATCGACTCAACGGCAACTAACAGTAACAATATTCTACTGTATGTATATACCAAATTTGTTTGTTCATTCCTCTGTTGATGGACATTTAGATCGTTTCCACCTTTTGGCTATTGTGAATCGTGCTGCAATGAACATCGGTGAACAAGTTTCTGTTTGTGTTCCTGCTTTCAATTCTAGTAGCAGAATTTCTGGCTCATACGGTAGTTTCATGTTTAACTCTTTTTTTTTTTTTTTTTTGCTTAGAGTTTTTATCAGGAATGATGGATTTTCTCAAATGCTTTTTTGCAATTTTTTTAAAATTGTGTTTTAGGTGAAGGTTTACAGTCTATGTTTAACTTTTTGAGGAAACATCAAACTGTTTTCCACAGCGGCTGTACCATTTTTAATTCCAACCAAAAATGGACAAGGGTTCCAATTTCTCCACATCCTTGCAAACACCTGTTATTTTTTATTTTTTTTTGGTCATAGCTATTCCAGTGGGAGTAAAGTGGTATCTCATTGTGGTTTTGATTTCAATCTCCCTAATGACTTTGAGCATCTTTTATGTACTAGTCTGCCATTTGTATATCCTCCTTGGTGTAATGACTATTCAATTCTTTTGCCCATTTTTTGATTGGGTTATTTGTCTTTTGTTGTAAGATTACAGCAGTTCTTATTCTGGATATTAAACTCTTAGCAGGTATATGGTTCCAAAAAATTTTCCCCCTATCTGTAGGCTGTCTCTTCACTTTGGTGATAAAGTTCTTTGATGCACAGGTTTTCAATTTCAACGAAGTCTAATATCTCTATTTTGCCTTTTGCCACTTGTACGTTTTGTGTCTTATCTAAGGACCCATTGTTAAAAACTAGGTCCCAAAGCACTACCCTGTTTTCTTCTAATAGTTTTATAGTTTTAGTTCTCACATTTAGGTCCTTGATCCATTTTAAGTTAATTTTTATATATGGTGTGAAATATGGATCCAGCTGTCCCAGCACTATTTATTAAAGAGATTACATTTTGCCCATTGAATAGACTTGGCGCTGTTGTCGAAATCAACGAACCAGAGATATATGGGTTAACATGTGTTTTATAGCCACATTCCTTAAATCAAAATACAAGTAACGGAAACAAATACGGAGTGTTTCATGATAAATAAGTTACCCTAAATAAAATCAATAGCTAAGTCTCATTAGTTCAATCCTTCTTAATCCTTAAAATTTCAAAACGTATATAACATCAAAAACTAAGAGAAGTCTTCATTGTATTTACCTCTTACATTTTTAATAAATTATTAGATGTGAAACTACTGTATATAAAGCATTTTCTTTTCCAAAAGGAGATATACTACATAGCTATACAACTTCCAGTTTGGCTAGTTCTGATGAAAAGCGTTATTGAAAATAGATGAGGTAGCGTCAAGGAAAATAATGACTTCTATTATGATGAAATGCATTCTATGTTTCTAGCATTTGAAACAAATCCTTAATATTTAAAATGTTTTTTAAAACGGACTTATTAAATCACTAATAACTCCCAGTGCTACACTTCACTTTGCCAAGTCAGCATGGAAATAACAAATTTAGCCTTCAGACTGAATTATTTTAAAACAAAAAGTTTAGCAAATTATGTAACAAGATGTTAACAAGATGCTATAAATTTCATTATTAACAAAAAACTTAGTAAAGCATTTAATACAAGCAGTTTTATAATGATTAAATAATTTTTTTATATTGGGAATTTTTATTTATGTTCCATTTCAGTTAAGACACTGAAAAAGATCTTGTTTTTCTGACTTTGTACACTAAGATCATGTGACCTTTTTGACATTGTTTAAGAAACCACAGGCACCTGGGGTTGAGTTAAATGTCAGACCCTTATCTCGCTGTGAAACAAATTATCTAAAGTCTTTCAACCTGTTGAAGGCATTTTAAACCACAGAAGAGGAGACAAAAATGTATTTCGATTGTTTTAAGGAAGTACATGGTCAAATATACCATGTTTTTCACACTCACACTATAAAGGTATCTCCTAAAAAATGCTGGTTTTGCATGTTTTGAAACAAACTATTCACTACTGTAATGAAGCATTAGCTATCTTTGCCTTGAATGCAGTATCAGCCAGTATTGAGCAAATATAAGTGCTTAGAACACTGTCTAGCACTAGAGTAGCGCTATCTGTTCATCACTACTACTAGAAATTACTTTGTAATGCAATAAGCAACCACTTGCTTATTGTGTTGTTCATTATAGCAGGTACCCAATTTTATTTTATGTTTGTTTTTTTGCTAAATTACGAAGAATTCAAAGACCAAGAATTATCCACACACCCCCCATTCTATTTGTAG